AAAAAAAAAAAAAAAAAAAAAAAAAAAAAAAAAAAAACATCATTGCAACCTGTGTTTCATACAGCAAGAGATTCATGGTATAAGTTGTTTTGTAAAAACTTGCACCATGTCTGTAAGATGAGTCTGAAAAAAATATTGAATTTTCCTTTCAAAAGAAATATAATTTTAACCAAAAAAAATTTAATAATAAAAAATAAATAAAACGAATAAAATAAAAAAAAAAAATAGATGCATCATTTTGAACCAACTTGTAGTAATGTACCAGTTTTTCTTATAGTCCATGTGACAGCTTTGATGCCTTGTTTTAAAGATTGTATCAGTTTCAGTATGGATACATGTATAATTGTAAACAGTATTATGATATATTAAATTGAATAAAGTTTTCCCTCCACTCTGCTATAACAGCTGTCCATGACACAAACTACACCTCACGTTCTGGTTTCTACAACCCATCCTCATTATCGGTGATAACACAAAGTTTGAACAGCAGTTAGATATATTTTCACCATTGTACAAAGTGATCAGTATTTACTGTAAGTACTGAAATGTCTTAACCTTGCCCCACTGTTCTGCTACCACCAGTTGGCTGCCAGGGTTGATGGCTAACGCTGTTGGACGCTTCAACCCATCAGACTGAGTGGCAATGTATCTGATAAACTGTCCCTGTGGACTCAGTGCCACTACCCTGTGGTTAAGAAAATCAGCAACGAAGATGTGACCGTAGCTGTCTGTACACACTCCATGTGGTTCCCTTAGCTGACCAACACCACTGCCTCGTGTGCCATACTGGTACAGCTGATCACCAGTAGGTGACAGCACATGTACACAGTGGTTATCCCGATCTGATATCACAATGTTATCATTCAAACCGTTCACTGCGATGTGCATTGGGCCTGCACACATACTGAGTGGAATAGTGTTCATGAACTGTCCACTGTCTGCATGGAATGTGAAGATGGCTTTCTTTTCCATGTCACAAACCATCACATGACCCTGTCTGTTCACTGTAATGCCACATGGCTTCTCCTGGCCCATGGTTGTCACCTGCTGACCTTTGGTGGAGAAGACTTTCACACATTTGTCAGCCCATGATGTGATATACAGGCGCCCAGTTTGTGACACAGCCACATCAAACGGTCTGTTAGGCTTAATGTCATATTTAAACTCTCCAGTGTGCGTGAATGTTTTTGTTCTTTCATCTCCATTATCTACAACAAACACTTTCTCTCCGTCTGTGGCCACCCCAGATATGTACATTACTCTATCATCTTTCAGCTTAGCATTGAAGGAATTTACACATTTTGCGTTCTCCAAGAAAACAGGAGGGCAGAGTCCTGATTTTGGAATTGTTCCCTGTCCAGCTAATGGAGGTTGTGGCTGTTCTGCCACCTGTCCAAACATGGCTGCCAGTCCGGGAGAATGTGGTGGAGACCTGGGATATGTTCCAGCCAATGGAGTTTGTGGCTGCACCGCCACCTGCCCTAACATGGCTTCCAGACCTTCAGCAAATATCTCACCAGGGCTGTAGGATATCTGTGCTGGTGTATCTGGAGTTGGGAGATGGGTTTGCTCCATTATTTTCAATCTGTCTCCCAAAGATTTGGTGTGAACCATGATATCAGAGTCAGTGCCATTTGTAACCAGTTCCTGGGCAAAGTCACAGACACCTTGCAAGGAGGCATGGTGAAGTTCAAGAATGTCCTTGTTTGCCTCATTCTGCTTCTTTCTGACGTCGTAAGCGGAATTCACTTCCGATATCAGTATTTCTTTCCTCTCATTTAGCAACCGAACAATTTGCTGGGCTTGGTTTTCAATCTCGTTGATAATAACTTCCCTGATATGAGAGTCCTCTATTTTATTGGCTGTTTCCTTGGCAACTGCAGCTTTAAACCTGTCCGTAGTCTTCCTGGTTTTAGCTAGATCACCTTGGAGGTTTTCTCTGTTGATTTCTGCAACTTTGTCAACTGATGAAATGCGATGTCCACTATGTTCTGTTACTATACACTGGCCACATATAACAGTATCGTCATCTTCACAGTAGTATTTTACTTCTTTATTAGGATGTTTCTCACAACGGGTGGTCGTCTTTGCAATTACCTGTGTCACTGCTGCTGCATTGGTCTGTTCCTCTTCTAATACCGGTTTGTCTACTTGCTGCTGGGTTATGATATCCTTGGCCTTGCCAAAGACCAAGTTCTTTTTCAGTTGATTTAGTCCACCAGCTGGAATCTGGGTCTCTTCTCTACAAATTGGACACGTAAATGTCTGGTTTGGAGTAAGAGATCTTTGGGCATAGTCAGATATACAACTATAGCAAAATGTATGGTAGCAAGGCAGCACACGGGGATCCTTATACTCTCCCAGACAGATGCTACATGGCAATATATTCTCTTTGATATTTGCTGCTTGTGCTTGTGCCATATCTGATTGTCTCTTTGTTAGTTTACAAGGTGTAGAAAGCTGGTTGTGGTGCCTTTGGGATTGAATCACCCAATTTTAAGAAGTGTCAACGAAATATTATTTTCCTATTTTTATCCTGGCGCTGCAGCTTTGATGACACTAATACCTCAGTGTTTACTTTAACTGGCTTACTGTCATGTCAGTTTTTTTCTGTCAAATCACTTAAGATTTGTGCATTCCCTGAAATATATGTCCTGTTTCTCCTTCTCTCTTTTACAACTGCTCCAAAGTAGAGAAAACTATTGCGTCTGTTTATAACCTGAGGCTGACCTAACCCAAGCATCTGGTGGGTTACGACACAGTTTTTGTTGTCAGGCGGGGCAGATGTATTAAGCTTACTCTTAAGCTTATTTTTTATAAATGGAGCCAATTATGTTTGGCTTTGTGTGAAAGAGACTTCTCCAGTTTAAGTGGCTGACACTAGTATTTAATAAAGGGCGCTTTTGTCAAAAGTTTCTTTATTTTTGCTTTGTTATTGTTCAACATAATTCCTGTTTTATGCAGTGGGTAATAAGTTGATTGTCTATTTCATAAGCTGACCTCACTGTGGCAAAGAGCAGACTGAAATAATAATGAAGTCTGTTGTTTGGCGACACAGTTGTATTATGTTTCCTCTAAGCTCAGGTTAAAGAAATAAGTTCAACAAAGCGTGTACATATGATTTCTGTTCTGCTGTGTGAGAAAGAAAACACCCAGTGACAGGTGACAGGTGCTTCCTGTGTGCTTTTATATAAAATTATAAAAAGGAACAAGCACTAAAATGCAGTAGAGGGGAGTGAATGTAAAACTGGCCCAGGCAGTAAATATCTCCATCTACATCAAGTTAATTAGGTTTCACCTGTTTTAATTGAATTTTTTTTCATTGTTTTGTGTCTGTTCATTTGTTAGCTTTGTTGTCTAGTTATGTTTTATTCTGTTCTTCCAGCAAAAGCGGAAGCTGCGTATCTTCATCTCCAACACGTTCTACCCATCTAAAGTTGAGGAGGAGGGGGAGGAGACGATACCTTCCTGGGAGCTTAGGATAGAGGGACGGCTACTGGAGGATGTGAGTACTGGGTTTATATTGACCAGAAGTGGCAGACTTTAAGGGGCGGGTTGACTGGGGGGTCCTAAACCATCCTCCCTCTTCAATTTCTGGGAAAAAACTACGCCAATAGTCGCCTCCTGAAATTAGTATTTTGACTAGCTGAATTGTAGTTCTAAACTGTAACAAAAGGTACTATTTTCCCACTAAAATACCAACATTTTCCAGGGGCCCTTTAGCAGGTCTGAAACCCCACACCAAGAGGGGGCGGGCTGGGATGTCAGCTTTGCATCCGTGGACCCCCTTCAAATAATTTGAAAAGTGCAATAGATATATATTTAATGAGAAAGAAGCTAAGGAGAGAGCTACATGAGGAATAAAATTAATAAAGATAATTTACTAGTATTCTGTTTAGAAATTAATTACTTTTCCTCTTTTTATATACTATATAATATCAAGTTTTTAAATTTGTGAGACACTTACTGCAACAGCATTTGTGAACATTATTTATTTATTCGTTTATAATTCCGAAGTATCTGTTCTTCTGTTAATCTGTCAAATTTCAAGTGTAATATTATAATCTCAAAAAAATATGATACTTTTATTGTACCACCAGCGTTAGCGCTGGCGGTACACATGGTTTCGGTCTCGTCCGGATCGTTCCGCCGGCTCCGCCGG